AAAACTCTAATGTCTGATAACTGTAGCCAGGAAGTAATTAGGAAATGGTACTAAAGAATCACAAGCTTACTCTCTCACTCACTCACTCACTCACTGAGATATATTGAATGCCTACAATAAGATATGGTCCCAGAGCCAGTGGGACATGGTGATAGCTAATTATAGCACTAAGGACTTTTGGTCTGAGATGACATAGGAAGACCCCACCCCATCGCTGACACATATAAATATTGAATAAAATACAACAAAAACAATTTAAAATCACAGCTGCATTTGAAAAGAAGAAAGGGGAAATTCCAAATTCTAGAAACAAGTGGGAATTCACAGCAGGAGTGGTAAGAGAGCTGAAGGGGAATTGAAGCCAGATTGTATATAATCTGGGCTGGGGTCTTAACACACAAGCAGAGGCAGATGAAGATCACAAGCATCATGGGTGGCAGAGGCCAGAATTGAGGCCCTACGTATAGTGGGGTGCCTACAAGGGCCAGACAAACCCCACCTACCAGCTGGATGAGTGATGATGGCACGGAAGCAAGACCACAATTTTGGGTAGAAAAGGAGTAATCTCCAAGCTCGTGCCTGGCATAGATGTAGCGTCCAAATTCTCCTTTGCTTTCACAATGTGGAAACCACAAATGGAGAAATAAATGTACAAATTTGTTTGGAATCAATGAAATCAGCTGAGGCAAACTTGAACCTTCCCAGAGGCCTGCCTCCACAATCAGGGAACATGGGATGCCCAGAGGAAAACACTCTTGCTGAAGATGAGCTCACAGAGAGAAATTACAAAGCACATAAGAAATAAACTGCCATGAGAAAGTCTTAGATTCAACATGGTGCCAGGCTCAGCCACCCATGCTGAGTTCAGAATTACCTAAAAACTTCCATTTATCCCCATCCACTCAACACCATCATCCTCCCAACTCTGATCTAGCCACCAGAGAGTATATGAAGCTTTTGCCTCTCCCTCTTCTTCATAAAAGTGTGTGTATTTGTGTATAATGTATGTATGTATAAATTCCCTGTCATTTAATTTGCACATCAAACCATTAAGATACTTAGAAGCCCATATTGATTACAACTGTTTCCACTAGCCAGATGTGAACCTGGGTGAGGGGGTTTTTGCCATTCCTGGCTACCTCCTCACCTGGCAGTATGGTGAGAGAACTCTAGCTTGGAGATTCTCCAAACATGGTTTGGGGGCTAAATCTTGTGAACCCTCAGGATCCAAAGAATGTAGACCTTTTTGTTATCATAATTTGACACCATGCTATTGGACAAATTTTCATTTTCACCAACAACTACTGGTGACCCCACTAAGTAAGCTATTCCTGGTTATTAAAATTTGGCAGTTAGGTTCAATTATCAGAGTTGAGTCAGGACTTTAATTGTGTCCACCAAAAGATCTGACTGCCAGGCAAAGCTTGGCCACACTCGCTCTGTAAATATGCATGTGTGGGCCAGGGGCCTTCCTGCACCTAGTGCCGGTTGCTATCTTATCAGTGTATCTTCAGCCTTGTTTTGAATCAGTGGAGGTTTGTAATTGCTGGTGCTCTGGCTTTTAAATCACCAATAACTTTTACTTTGGCTTCATCACCATCAGTGGATATTAATATTTGGAGAAGTCTACAAAGTTGTAGTGATACCTATTTGCTTTATCAGAGTTTTTAGCCTGTTTTCCACTAAGAAGGAGGTCTTAAGATGCATGCATTGCAGCTCAAATGTGAACCACCCATATCTCTACTGTTGTTGTTAGGTGCCACTGAGTGGATTTCAATTCACAGTGACACCATGTGATAGAGTGGAACTGCCCTAGGGTTTTCTAGTTTATAATTTACGGGAGCAGATTGCTAGGTCTTTCTCCCACAGAGACACTAGGTGAGTTCGAACCACCAACGTTTTGGTTTGCAGCTGAGCATTTAACCATTGTACCATCAGGGCTCCTTATATCTGTGCAAGTTTCCAAAACTGAGGTTCCTACCATGTCTAGGGTGGCTGGCTCAGGTGTAGGTCTGGCTCCTTTTTGTGACTTCTGCCTCTGTGTTCCTGAGGACCTAATCTTGACTTCTTCATAAGCACATGGGCCTGGGCCTCTGGCAGGGCAGAACCAGCAGACTGACTTCTTCCTATTCATATGCATATGACCTTAAGCCCCTGGCTGGGTGGAACCAGTGGACCGTGGCTCCCTATCAATCATCTTGTGACCCCCTTGCAAGTACTTATGCTATTATGTGAGTGAACTCAATCCAAATACCCACAGTTTTGTATCCAACAAATTACTGTAAAGCCCTCACTTTGAGTTGTCTCACCTCCTGCTTACCTAATCTTGCAACTTCTAATCAGAATGTTGTATTTTTACCTTATAAATATGCCTCTGTGACTCCACCATTTTGGAGTGCTGGTTTTCATTTTGTGAGATCCAACATGTCCCCTTCTTGAGCTGTCTTTGCTCTCAATAAATCTCTTTACTTTCAGTTCAAACACAGTATGCATTATCACTTGACGACATATGTCTACTAGCAGATTCCAAAAAACCAAACCAAATCAGTTACTTCTGAGTGGATTTTGACTCATGGCAACCCTGTGTGTTTCAGAGTAGAACTGCTCTCCTTAGGGTTTTCAGTTGCTGTGATCTTTTGGAGGCAGATTGCCAGGTATTTCTTATGCGGCACCTCTGAGTGGATTCGAACTACCAATCTTTTGGTTAGTAGCTGTGTGATTAACTGTCTGCACCACCCAGGGATTCCCACTGGCAGATTACCCCTCCATATACCTTTACAATGACTCTTCATTATTATCATCAAGTTCTTTCACTGGAAAAAAGGAGTTAAGTGGGAGAGCTATGTGTTAGCTCTTCTGCCACATGAAAAGAGGCAGAGTTAAAAAAAGTTTACCCCACTGGGGCAAAGGCCTCCATTCCTCTTTCCTCATTCTCTTGTGTGTTTGACAGAGAGGTAGTAAAATGTAAATAAAATCATTTCATCTTGGGCAAGGACTAGTTCTTTCAATCATCCGTTTAAGAAAATATTCACTGAGAGCTCAGCGAGCGCCAAGCTCAACCCAAGCAAGACACATTTCCTGCCACCAAGGAACTCAATGATAGACATATATTCAGAGATAGGTAAGTAAACAGATAAGGCCAATACAAGTCTCTGCTTTCATCTATTTTAGTAGGGTACCTGTTCCACCTACATAGGGGAAAGGATGCTGGCCAACGTGTCTATTCTTTCTTCTCTGCAAGGCTGGTTTGAGCCCTGTGGACACACAGCTTAAGGAGCCACCAGAACGTCTTCTTCTATAGATGTCTGAATCTATCCCATAGCCTCTTCTCTTTCACAGTGCAAAGTAAAATAGCCCCAACAAAACAGCCAAATCACAAGTAAAGAAGGCAATGGAAGGATTGCATAAAGATAACAACTAAATCTCCAGAGGAGATTCTGGGTCTGTACACACTCAGCCTTTCACTTTCTAAGTCTGTAGTAGTCCAAAGTAATGGATTTTATAGTGATGAGCTTGGACCACTGCCTATCACTGAAGGGGTTTCTGGATGAAGGAGAGATAGACAACTGTGTAGAATATAATGGTTACCGTGGTAGGCTGATTCTAAAATGTCTTCCCCTCAACCCCAAGATTCCCACCTCCTGGCAATCTCTCTCTTGGGTAACCTCCTTCCCTTGAGTGTGGGCTGGACCTAGCGACTTGCTTCTAATGACAGAATATGGCAAGAGTAAAAACAAAAAACTTATTGCCATAGAATCAGTTCTGACTCATAAAATGCACAACTGACCTATAGTTTTCAAGGCTGTAATCTTTACAGAAGCAGATTGCCACAGCTTTCTCCCATGAAGTGGCTGGTGGGTTTTAACTGCTGACCTTTTGGTTAGCCACTGAGCGTTTAACTACTGTGCCACCAGGGCTCCTTACGGCAAGAATGATAGGCCATAATTTCTGAGATTAGGTTATGATGTGGTTATATGACTTCTGTCTTGCTTGCACTCTCTCTCTTGCTGGCACTCTTGCTTCTTGGCTTGTTTGCTTTGGTGAAGTCAGTGGCCATGTTGGAGAGGCTACTGTGGCAAAGAATTGAGGGTGGCCTCAGACCAATAGTCTGCAAGGAATTGAATCATGCCAACAAACACAGAGTGAGCTTGGAACAGATACTGCCCCAGTTGAGATGACTGTCACCCTGGCCAACAGTTTGATTGTAGCCTTGTAAGAGATCTTGAAGTGTAAGTTCTTAATCCCATTAAGCTGTGTCTGGTTTCCTGACCCACAGAAACTATGAGATAATAAATGTTTGATACTTTAAGCTGTTAAGTTTTGGGATGATTTGTTACACTGCAATAGATGGCTAAGCCAGTTATTATTAAACAGTTATTATTAAACAGCCTATGGTGAATTTACCGGAGCAGAGAATGTACAAGCATATTTTGGGAGCCTTAAAACAATATGGATTGATCCTTCTCTTACACCCTAGTTAATAAGAATAGGCAGCCCCAGTGCACACTGGTAGGCTGGAGATTTATTAGAGTAAGAAACTCCTATGTTAATGGCCACAGACTGTAAGGCCATAGGGACCATAAGACTGTCTAGGCCAGTGTTCTAAACCAGGCAGCGATGTCAAGAATCAGCTGAGGGGCCTGGACCCTACCCTGGACCTACTGGATTGGGGTCTTCACAGGTGGGTCCAAGAGCATCTGAATTAGATAAAATTTCCCCAGATGAGTCAGATTGTGTATCCCTGGGTAAGAGCCACTTATCTAGTCCTGTTCCTCCACTTAACATAAGAGGACACGGAGGCCAGAGAAGTTGTGCATCTTTTTAAGATCACACAGCTAGTCAGTGGCAGAACCAGGAGAAAAACACAGGATTCCTATGTCCCTTTCCTCTCCTTTGTCCACTCTGCCACAAGGTCCCCACCCATGTACACCTCCGCCCCATAAGATGGAGAACTTAGTTTAACCCAGAGCTAACATAAATAGAAAAAAGGAACAGATATGCAGAGAAAATGACTAAGGTTATCTTTATTTGTTTTGAAAACAACTTCTGTTCTTCATTACTCAATATAATCCTGGCCTGGGCCTGGTGACAAGGAATGCTTCTCTCTCTGGCCTCCCCCAAGTTCCTCCTTTGTAAGTAAGGGGACAACACACACACTTCCCATTAGAAATCTGTCTCCAGATACCAGGTGGGAAAAATGGCCAGGACTCGAATTCAACACACTGAGAATATGTGGGGTTTGTCTCTGAGCCCCATGTGGCTTGCAATCTTTCCCTTCATCCTCCCTGAGACGATCACTCCTGTCCTAGGTGGCTTTGCCTCTGCCTCCCCGTTCAGGGTGTCTGGAGTAGTCATGGGATGCTCACAGCCTCATTTACAGTCTGCTTTTCTTGTCTGGGAAGCATCCCCAGCCCAGGCTGGTTCAGGGAGGCCCCATTAGGAATTCACCATGTCCCAGTGCTGGCTCATAAGTGAGGACTCACAGGGGTTGACGACGATCTCCCTGCCATTCTCAGTGCCTTCATCAAACATGTCCATGTCCAGGCAGAGGTGAGAGGCCATGTGCTCGATGCGGGAACCAGTCTTGGTCCATTGCTGAGAGGACAGGAGAGAAGATGAACCAAGTTTCTCTGCCAATGATGGAATTCCAGTATAATCGAACATGTTTACACCACATGCCGAGAGTCACTCAGAGACCTGACTTCAGTCTCATGGAGGAATGAAACTGCAATTAATTGCTCTGCCAGATACTTAAAAAAAAAAAAAAATTAGATTTAAAAAAGCAAAAGTGAAATCAATATGTTTGCTAGGAAAACTCATCAGGGGGCAGTAACTTTCCAAGCAATACGCCAGAGAATGTGAAGCAAGTTAGTCACAGGAGCAATTAAAAAAAAAAAAAGAAGACCCCAGCTTGGTATATGCAGTGGTAAAAAGAAATGGGAGAGAGGTGGGGATGTCAGGAGCAGGGAAGGCAATGGGAATGGGGATAGAGGGGCTCCTGGGCAGCACCCATGCAGTAAACCTCTGCTTCTCCAAAGTGCTTCAGCACACAAGGCGCCCAAGTGGAGGTGGATTTCCTGATGCTATTTCTCAGACTTCACTTCCCATGACAAGGAGAAAGGGGATGGACACGCATTGGAGAACTGCCATTTGTGAGGGGCTGAGCTCTGTACTTCATTTAATGGCTGTGAACAGCTACCCTGTATGGTGAACATCATCAACCTCATTTCATAAAGGAAGAAACTGAAGCTCAGAGAGATAAAGTAACTTGTGCTGAGTCACACAGCCAGTCATAGAGCAGGCATTTGAATCTTGGTCTCTCCAACTCCAATATTCAGTTTGCTAGGAAACTGAATGGAGCCAACAACGCCTTGCTGCTAGAGGAATTGGGCACCTGGTGCATCCAGAGTGCTCAGCACTTTGGTGAAGACACTGCCAGAGCCCAAGTTCCCCGGGAGTAAAGGTTCCCGTCTTGATCATCCTTGAGGCCCTAAAGGCCTTGCCTCAGAGCTGTCTGATCTAGAATCCCAGGTGGGGGTCAGGGCAATGACAGGACAGGACAGGACAGCATGAGCCTGAATGGTGTGGTCCAACGAGGTTGGCAGTCTTTCGGGGGGCCAGCAACCCAGGGAGGAAGAGCTGTCACTGATGTCTGTACCATGGGGGGCATGAGGAGCAGCATCCCCTCCCACTCCTAACCAAAAGGATTCCTTTCTTATTAGCCCTTCTTGTAGCCCCAAACACTTCCTCTCCTCATATTTTCTCTCTTTTCCTGGACCTGAGCATGGCAGTCACATTATTGAAGGCTGCCCTGCACCAGGGTGACCCTCTGGGCACTTACCTGTCTGTTATCTCCATTCTTACAAAGCACAAGAACCACCGGGGCACCAGGGAAGAAGGTGATGACTGAGAGGCATAGCTCCTCCTGGAGGATCTGCTGGGTGTATGTGAAGGCCCACACCTGGGGAAAGAGATCAGGGAAGATTCTCAGGGATTCTTGGAATCTACCATTCCTTAGATACACTGTGACTATGTGTGACGATCATTATAGCTTGGTAAAGAGTACTAGGGTGGGGAAGGGGAGTCCTAGCAGGAATTGACCTTGAACAAAGCCCCCCCTTGGAAAATGCTATTCAAGCAACAGAGACCCAGAGGTCACATTTCCACTGAGGCCTCTGTCCTCACACCTGGGAAAGGGGTCAGGCCTGGGACCCGCAGGCTGCCTCTAGGAGTTGCTGAACAATACTAGACTTTGGGAGACAGCCGGAACAACATCTTAGTGATCTGCTTGGTCTCCAGCTTCTTTACTTAGAGAAAATGTCTCAGTCATAACCTGTTCCTCACACTTGACATTTCAAGCGGCTCCCGGGCAGGTCAGAAGAATGTACACTTTTCTTTAGGAGAATATACCCTTTCCTTTGACAAGGAGTCCAAATCTACATCTCAAAACGCAGAGGAATGCAGAGGCAGACTGAGTGGCAAAGGGAATGAGGAAATGTTCTAAGGGAAAGGGTGGAAGAAGAATGGAGCAGGAAAGAAGAAAGTTATGAGAAACAATTATTTCAGAGTGTGCATGGGCCCCAATATGCCAGTATAAGAGATCGTCTGTACAACAGACCTCTCGTAGGGAGAGAAACTGAGAAGTTGAATTTACTAGCATCCTTCTAAAGACATGAGTAAAGGGGGCATTCTGTGGGGTTCATTACGAGCAATGACTCGCACATATTTCCTCCAAAGTGCCCAGGACTGCAAAGCAACTGCAGCTCAAGTAGCCTACAGTGCTTTCCATTTCTTTAATCAGGGGGGCAGAAAGTGCTGGCATAATCCTTCTCAAACTGACAGCCAGGAAAAGAGCTTTTTTCCCCTAGATTGTAAAATGGGGACAATTCCTGCCCTTTGCCTTCATCATGGAGCAATGAAGGTGATTCTCGAATCGGTTCCCTGAGGGAAACTGTCAGGAAGGACCTTATTAAGGCTGTATCCGTTCCCCTCCAAAACACCTCTGCTGACCAGATGACCCTTAGCCTCTGAACCAGGCCACTTGTGAGCTACTTCTCCTTGGCCCAAGAATGAAAAAGGTCCTGCCCTAGGAAAAAATGTCCCCTGAGCTGACACAGTGCTGTCCATTGCCTCTCATTCTGCCCCTTCCCTGCCTGCCTTGTGCCAGCTGCCTCCTGGTCCCAGTCCTCTCCTGGCCTCCACTGTGTAGTGAACATCTCTAACTTCTTTTTGTGATCTGGCTTGCTGTCATCTCTCCCTCACCCTTGGGCCCCCTGCTATCCTGACCACAGGGTGTATCTTCACCCTGAGTCGGCCTGACCCACACATTGTCAACCACTGCCCCCCAGATTTTGGACCTTCCCCTGCCCCCTCATGCTGGATGAAGCCACCAGCCACTGAGAGCTGCTGTACCCCAAGGATGGCTGCTGCCTGCAGACTCTTTGTCGCTTTTCAAACTGCTGCTGTTGGAAAAAGATATAGACCAGAAAGTGTTTCCTGCAGAGGGGATGGAAGTACAGCTGGAGCAAAAGACTGTCTATGAGCTGATAACTCTTGAAGCCCTGCAACAGTACGTGGAGGTTCTTTATACTATTCTCTCAACTTCTGTGTTAATATATATTTGAAATTTTCTATAATACAAATTTATAAAACTTACTTATTAGAACACATCAAGAAGTTCTTTGCTGGCCTTGTGAGCATCACCATTCTACACAAACCATCTGCCTTCCTCCAGGATGTCCAGGAATGGTCTAGTAATGTAAAATTTGTCCCCCAGAATGGAGGGTGCTGAGAGACCAAAGAAAGAGGTGGGCAACTCCAGTGTGGGAGCAAAGGGATATATCAGGGAGACTTACATAAGAGGCCAAGTCCTGGGCAGCTGCAGGACCAAAGGAGATCTCCACACCCCACAATGAGAGGGCAGAGGCTTTATAGTGGTGGTAGACAATAGTGGCTCCACGCCAGGGACTTACATAAGAATGTAAACTGTAGTGAACTAGCCGACCACATGGCCCAGGGACAGATTCCCGAGCCAATGAGCCAGGGCGTTCTTGGCATGTAAATCATACTGGGAGCTCTTATCCTATACAGAGGCTTCCACTTGATCTTGAATGAACTCTTCATGCACTATATCACCCCCAAGCCATAGGGGTTATTGAGCACTTCAAGGGACAGTCTTTAATAGCTGATGGGAGGGGAAAAGACAACCCTAGCCTGAACTATACATCTTAGGCAAGCAGTCTGGGTTCTCAATGCAGCAGTTCCATGCAAGGGCATTTCTCATTTGTGCCATATGTTTGATCAAACTGTCTATTCTAAAAAATGTGTTTCTTCTGTATATGTCTGTTCCTGACAAAAGATCTACGTTCCCACAGAAGTCCCTGCCTCGAGACTAGGACAGACAGTCTCAGTGGCTATACCCAAGAAACCCTCACCTCAAGTCCTATGGGAGATAGTGGCGGGGAGAGAGAAATTGTTAATGTTGTCTCTTTTTCTTCCCAGATTATCTCACAATGATGGACAGACCCCTTATCCATGCGCTTCAATGATACAGGCTTTTGGCTCTGTTAACATCTGAACTAAGATGACAAGTCATCTCCCCACATTGTTCCAGCTGATTTGTCAACGAGGAGGACAACTTGTGGACCAACTGAATATGTAACCTGGTGTACTGAGGAGATCATGTGATAAATGAATATAGTTGACTCCACTACTCGCGGAGAACATCTTTTGAAGTATGAAAACTGCCTGTGGGGAGTGCTTCAACTTTAGAAGAAAATTTCTCTCTGTGTGTTAAAAATGTAAATGGTACAGGACTGGATGGTTTGATTCTGAGAACAGTACTTTTAAGACTGAGTTTGATGTTACTCTGAACATGGAGAACTTGCAGAATATGACCAGGTAGTTCATTGTACATTGGATGACTACACCAAATCTGAATTAGCTTGGTCTGGCAATGGTAATACCTTGTTCAACTGTATTGAGAAAGGGAGCTTTTGCATTACTTGTACTGAAATCTATACTGTTCATATAATGTGCCATGTTGGGAGAAATATGCTGTTTTTACATAAATGAACCAGGACATGTTATACATACATAAGATCGGACAATTGAAGCCTGCCTTTTTATCTATTCTGTTGGCTTAGATTAAGCCACAACTAGGATGCTTGGTTGGGATCTCTCCTCCAAGCAAGCCTGATCAACCTGCAGGGGACAGTTCTACTAGTAATCTTCATTAAATTCTGCCTCAAATGACGTACAGATGTAACATACATCAGAATTATGCACCAAACCACAGACATGTAGCTCAATGTCCAAAATGGTTGATGGGCATACCAGGACTTGGTACTGCTTTGCTTCTTTGGCACCCTCATGGGAGTTGCCGGTGGGCTGTGGGGGGAGTGGTCTGCCTGTACACTTCCCATCCAGAACGTTTAAGTAAAGGCCTTGGGCCCAGAACATTCTCTGATAAGGTGGCTGGGAATTGAGTTGCCTTCTCTCTCTCAGTTCCTTCTCCTTATCAGAGAAGCCGTCCCCCTGTTCTGGGCACACAATAACTTTCTCTGACTCTTGCACATGTATGGGTACCATATGGCACCTGGCCAATCCCACTTCTATATCTGTTCCTGACAGGGAGGGAACAGGGTCTCTCATACCATGTGTCTTAGTCATCTAGTACTGCTACAACAGAAATACCACAAGTGGATGTTTTAACAAAGAGAAATTTATTTCTTCACAGTAAAGTAGGCTAAAAGTCCAAATTCAGGGAATCAGCTCCAGGGGAAGACTTTCTCTCTCTGTCTGCCTTCTCATCAATGTCCCCCCGGACTAGGAGCTTCTCAGTGCAGGAACCCCAGGTCCAAAGGATACGTTCTGCTCCTGGCACTGCTTTCTTGGTGGTATGAGGTCCCCCTATGTCTCTGCTCACTTCTCTCTTTTATAGCTCAAGAGATTGCCTCAGGACACAATCGAATCTTGTAGACTGAGTCCTGCCTTACTAACACAACTGCTACCCATCCTCCCTCATTAACATCATAGAGGCAGGATTTACAACATATAGAAAAATCACACAATACCAGCTATCATGGCCTAGCCAAACTGGGCCAAACATACATACATTTTTGGGGGGACATAATTTAATCCATGGCATTCCAAACTTTGGCCCCCCAAAAATCACATCCTTGCAACATGGAAAACATATTCACTCCATCATATCATAGCAAAAGTCAACTCCAAGTCGAAAATCCAAAAATTCCTCTTCATCTGTGAAATCTAAATACAAGCTATCTGCTTTCAAAGGTACAACGGCAGAACAGGTACAAGCTAGACATTTCCATTACTAATGGGAGAAACTGGAGGAGAAGAAGGGATAACAGGCACCAAGCAAGTCAGCAGAACACATTACATTAGCGCTCAAAGCTTTGAAAATAAACCTCTGTTCTCTGAGACAATGTACACAATGGCCCTGCCTTCCAGACTCTAGGTATTGGCCACAGTCTCCAGATTCTGAGTGGAAGCCCTTCGGCCCTGGGCTTCAGGCTCTGCCTTCCAGGCCCATTGAGACAGCAACTCTGCTCCCTTGGCTTTAGGCGCACTATTCTCCCAGTCCATCTGAGTGGCGACTCCACCCTTAGACGCACCAGAGGCCATGGCTCCACCCTTTGAAACCTCAGAAGTCATGGCCATAACTTTTGAGACTGAGGCAGCTTGGCTTCTTGTGTTCCTTGTCTCTTCAGCTTCTGCTTCTTTTTCTTGTGGCCTCTCAGACCTTGGGCCTCATGCCCGCCTGTGCCCTGCTGGGGCAAGTGTTCCAAAGCTCTATAGCTCCACCGGTAAGTGCCCAGAGGCACCCCACTCTGCTAGGAAGCCTCCTGCACACAGGCACTCAGCTCCCTCGCTCCATGGGTCAGCTCCAGCACCGTCTGGCACTGGTCTCCTGGTTCTGCTGCTACCGGTTCTCTG